CCACCCACCCACCCATCCATCCATCCATCCATCCATCCATCCATCCATCCATCCATCCATCTGATTCCTCATCTACCCACCCACCAAATACTTGTGGATGACTATGTGCTAGACACTGTTTCAGGTACCAGGTTTTTTGTACAGAACAAAACAGACAAGGCCCCTGACTTCATGGAAATTACATTCTGGTGTGATCACTACACCTTGATGGAAAATTTCCTCACCTATGAGGCAGATGTACAACACCTAAAACAGAGAAAAAAGGTATAAGAACCTTTCAGATGAAATAATTAAGAATAGTGCCAAAAGGAGGCCTGATTGGTAGGTCCAAATAGTTTAGAAAAGATTAGTATGAGGATTAGAATTAACAAAGGTTGAGATTTATTTTTGATCTTTTCCTCTCTTCTCTGAGGTGAAAAGCAAGAGTGTGAAGAGGAAGAAAAGCCATGTGTCTGGATAATCTGCGAAGAAGAGAACCTCCACATTAACAACAGGTTAACAATATGAAAAGGTTAGAATCCTACAGTCAATTTTTAAAACTCTGTATGATTTCAGCGTTAGCCTAGGTTCAAGGGAAATTTTATCTATTCAAAGGTCTTGCTATCATCAAAACCAAAAAATAACACCTCTTACAGTCAAATTACCTTTCTAGATTTTCTGGCAATCAAGTCTTCCAGTTGCATGGTAGATTTGGGACACATGCACTGCCAACTGGATCAATATATTTTTAAATCAATTCTCCCATAGTCTTTGGAATCTGCATGATTTATATAAAAATTTAGACAAAAGGATACTGTAGTCTGCAGGGATTCTAGAATATCTGAAGCTTAAAATTTTTCCCACTATATCTTAATGCATACTAGAATCATCCATTATTAAGAAAGAAATGTTGGATGAAGACAAGCTTTTAGACAACAGATTATTGAACATGTAAGACTCCCCACAAAGTACTTATCTAAGAAAAACCTACTCTTTTGCTATTGCACTCCACTTTTACTTGAAGTAGCTACAGAAAAATTATGTCCACTTACAAGGCTAGAGAAAGTAAGCAAAGTTCAAAGTCTATAATGGTATTCAATAAATACAACAGTAAAACAACTACCATTGAAGAGCAGTACTATGTCCCAGGCACTGTACTGGATGAGAGCTTTATAAACATTATCTCACTTGATCTTTATGACACTGCTGGGTAGGCGTTTTTTGTTTGTTTGTTTGTTTTGTTTTGTTTTGTTTTTAAGTTGGATTCTCACTCTGTCACCCAGACTGGAGTGCAGTGGCCACTCCCGGCCACCGCAGCCTCGACCTGCTGGGCTCCGGCGATCCTTCCGCCTCAGCCTTCCGAGTAGCCAGAATTACAGGCATGCGCTACCATGCCCGGCTGATTTTTTGATGTATTGTAGAGATGAGGTCTTGCTGCCCAGGCGGGTCTCGAACCCGTGGGCTCAGGCAATCCACTCACCTCAGCCTCCCAAAGGCACGGGATTACAGGCTGAGCCACCGAGCCCGGCTTGGGTAGGCGTTATTGGCTCAATTATATGCATGAGCAATCTGAGACTTCAAGTTCTTAAAACACTTGCCCAATTTCTTAAAGTACTAAGTGGCAAGTCTGGGACTTAAACCCAATTCTGATTCCAAAGCCCATGGTGTTTGATCTCACTTTCTTGATTTCAAAGGATTATAAAGTCTATTATTCTGATGTGGTTTTCTGTGTTGCTTCCATGATGCATTCTAAGAGGTTTCTCCAGCCACAAAGAATCACTGGGCAAAAAAAAGTAATATGAGAAAATTTCAGTGTCTAGAGTCAGAGTCACATCTGAACTGTTTCATTAAATAAGACTATGATACTTTCACTTTTTTTTAATTTAAACATTTTTCTTAGAGACAAAGTCTCACTTTGCTGGCCAGGCTGGAATACAATGGTTCGAACTCCTGAGCTCAAGTGATCCTTCTACCTAAGCCTCCCATAGGCTTACAGGCAAGAGCCACCAGGCCCAGTTAACCTTGTTATGTTGCCCAGGCTGGTCACAAACTCCTGGCAATCCTCCCTCCTCAGCTTCCTGAAGTGCGGGGATTATAGGCATGGGATTCCTGGTTGAGGATGACATTTTTAAAATGCTAAAAAATTTTCCAAGGTTATTCTACCACAGCCTATTAGGTTGTAAGCTCTGTGAGGAAGAAGATTGAGTCTTATCATTTTTGTGCCTCTGTATCATAGCCTAGTGTGATTGCTGTCATATAGTACATTTTAAATAAATACTGCTGAATAAATGAATGAACAAATGAATAGATGAACCTTCTTTGCTATCTAGTTCAATACATAAGATTTATCATTAGACTTCTATATTAAGGCATCTGCTCAATTTCACTAAAAAAAATTTAAAAATAGAAAGGGATTGGCAGTAGTGGGAAACTGCCTGGGGGGCGGTTTGGGTTGGCAGTTGAGGGAAACTGCCAGGGGAGGGAGCGGCACACCTCATTAACAAGGGTACCTGCATAATGAACATTTGTATACCTAACCCTGAATTACACCCCACATCTTTAAAATAATTTTTAAAAAATATATATCATGAACATTAAAAAATAAAATGTAAAACGAGAAAATAAATAAATAAATAAAGTGAACATGATACACTTATTTTCCTGAACCAAGAGAAGCCTCTGAACTATCATTTAAGGAACTTTTGTAAACACATGCAAAGTCAATTTCTAATCAACATATTGCTAGATTTTCTGATGACACTATAGAACTATGAAGAATGCATTAAACCAAACAAATAAACATCATGAGCAATACAATACTGGAATTTCTTTCTTTTTCCTCTTTGCTGATATGTCTAAAACATCTATCTGATTCCATATACAGTAAGAAAAATTCTGAGAAACAAAAATAACTCTAGAGAAATATAGCAGTAAAACAAAGCAACAAACCTCATGTGCCCTCTTATCTTTAAAATTATTTAAAATAATAAGAAATAAATCCACTCTTTGTTATCATATGGCATAAGAAAGCTATGTTGTGAAAAAGCCCAGACTCTAATACCAGAAAGTAAAACAATTCTGAGATAAAGTTGTACACTTTACATAATATAGATACATATTCCTAGTTATGTTGGGTGAACTAATGTTAAATATAAAGTGAGAATCACATCAAACAAGTATAGATAGAAATAATGAGTCATACGGAAAAATGATAAATAACTTACAAAGTGGACAACCCATAGATAAATAATTGAGAGTTGACTCGACATCAGGTTCTAATCAATGACTAAAGAGAGTGAAATCTACTTTATTTTATAAAATATTTATATTTTATAAACTGCAGGCTATCTTTTAATATCTATTAAAATAGTATTTTAATTAAGGTGAGTGTTTTGAGAATGAATAAAAAATGAAAACGAATTTTAAAGAATTTACTAAAAGAAAAAATCTCATAATTGAACTAAACTATATAATCCCCAACTCATTCTCTGACACGTATTTTTAAATTCTGCAATCGTTTAAAACAAATGTGCATTTTAACTCCCTCAACCCGGGAATATTCTCATAGGCGTGAAATACTCACCTAAAAGTGCATTTTTTCCATGATCATCTGGTAGAAATCGCTTGTCTACAGCACAAACTAGGATGTGTTCAGGAAGATTGGGAGACTTGGCCCCTACCAGGAGGAATCCTGCTGGGATGTCGATTTGTTCCATACACAGTGATACCAATCGCAAATCCTTTCCTGCTTGACAAAAACCTACAAATCAGTTTAAAAAAAAAAAAAAAGGACACAGTGAAATGCTTAGTTGACATTATATTTCCTTACCACCCATTTGAAGAGTAGATTGATCTGTGGAAATCACTACTAAGGACGAAAATAAAAGTCCATATACTAGGGGGGGACCCAAAAAACCCAGAATTTATTTGTAAAAAATTGTATATTTATTCTTACATGTCTAAACTTCAGTCACCTTCAAAGTACTCTCCATTTGATGCAGTACACCTATGGAGACAGTTTTTGCACTGCTCAAAACAGTTTTTTAACTCGTAAGTTTTGATGCTTTTTAGTGCTTCAGCTGTTTTTTGTTTTACCTCTTCCATACCAGCAAAGTATTCCCACACTAAGTGTTCAGCAGTTTTTGACTAAAAACGGCATGATCCTGGTGTCCCACCCTCCCTATTCATCTGATCTTGTCCCAAGCAACTTTGCTTCCCCGAGTGAAAAAAGTCCTCAAAAGGAAATGTTTTGCTGATGTGGAAGACGTAAAATTTTAAAATGTCAGAAGCACTAAAGGGCACACAAATTGACAAGTTCAAAAACTGTTTTGAGAAGTAGAAAAAGGGTCTCAATAGGTGTACTGCATCAAACTTTGCAATACAAAGGAGAGTACTTTGAAGGTGACTTAAGTCTAAACATGTAAGAATAAATACACAATTTTTAATAAATACATTCTGGGTTTTTTGGGGTCCTCCCTTGTACTCTAACCAGAAGACAAATCTATCATATGTGCCCCTCTGAACGGAGCTGAAAAGACACTGAAAGGAGATATCCGCTTTTGCCAAAATGAAAACCTTATATTTTCTGGTCCACAAATAAGGCAATGATAAATACATAGTAGACTTTGAAAAGTGCATGTAATTTTTACATGCATATAATATAATAATATAACCTTTAATGCAAATTCACCTCTCTAAATGGGGACAATCAGAATAGAGATGCTCTCTGTTTCACAGAGGAAGAGAATGAAGCTTAGAATTTGGTGGCTCATAAATGAACAGGCCAGAACTGAGTTCTAGAACTCAGAACTGTTAGATCATCCCACTAGAGATGACATGCATGATAATGACATGACAAATCTCACATAACCACTTTGTATACTAGAATGTATTGTATGACTCCACTAGTCCATCATTTATTAAACAAGCATTTGCAAAAGCTTCTGTTCTAGACCTGGAGACAGCGAATTGAATAAAATATATCTTCCCCTAAGAACTCACATTGCAATCAGTTTGGAAGAACATATAAGGAACCAAGAATCACAAAGACAATATTATTGAGGAATATTCTAGGGAATGATCCTCTTTGTACTCCAATTATGTGGTTCCCCTAGAGAGCTGATACTGCAGATTGATGTGAAGCTGGCCCCTGACCCAAGCTGGGTCACTCTATCCCACCTTGCTGGTCATAGTTGATTGGTCCAGGGGTGGGCACCTGACACAAACAAGGCCAATCAAAGCCTTTTCCCTAGGAATTCTGAACACAGAGCCAAGGAGAGCACGGCTCAGTTTACTTTCTGGCAGCCCTATTCATTGACCTGTGAGGGAAGTTCATCTGCAGAGACAGGAGGCTGAGGGAGTGTCTCTGGCAGTGTTTGGATCCCTGAGCCCAGCTGTATCTGCCTTTACCATAGTTTGGCCAAGAAACATTTTACTTTGGAATTCTTCCAATAATTTCTTCATTTTATCTAAGCGAGTTTCAGTTGGGTTTCTGTCATTTGCAATGAAGAGAGGTTGAGTAAAGGCATAATAAATAATATTTCAAAGAAGTCTGGCAGCATGAAGGACAGATATCTACCTGTCCACACACAAATCTGAGGACAGGACAATCATTGCCCAATACAAAGAAGGGAAGTACCAGGCCAGATTCTTCTAGCATGAATCCATTATGATTTTAACCAAATGCCAACAAGCAATTGAATACTAGCAGTTAATATATAAGAAATAAATAGAAAACACCATCAAAACATTGACTGAAGCAGTGATGCACATTAAATGTATCATATGGTTTGGATCATCAAATCTCAAAAGCAGGCACAATAAAGTTGGAAAAAGTCAACAGAAGAAAGACTAAAATGATAAAGACAGTGGGGGTCAACCATTTCAAGCTTGTAGTTTTCCTTTTAACATTAATATAGTCCCATTTAACTTTTAGAGTTCATGAATTAAGAAAAATATTATGCCGGGCTTGGTGGCTCAGCCTGTAATCCCAGCTCTTTGGGAGGCCGAGGCAAGTGGACTGCCTGAGCCCGCGGGTTGAAGACCCATCTGGGCAACTTGGCGAGACCTTGTCTCTACAATAAATCAAAAAATTAGCCAGGTGTGGTAGCGTGTGCCTGTAGTTCCAGCTACTTGGAAGGCTGAGGCGGAAGGATCACCGGAGCCCAGCAGGTCGAGGCTGCAGCGGCCGGGAGCGTGCCACTGCACTCCAGTCTAGGCGACAGACTGAGACTCCAACTCAAAAAAAAAAAGAAAAAGAAAAATATTATAAAGAGTTATAAATTCTCTAGCAATTTTAAAGGATTCTGTATTTGTTCATACTATCATTATTTATTTGAAAAACAGTGATTTATATATGAGAGTCATATTACTTATTCGGTTTACACATATTTTTTTGGAGCCTATGGACACGTGGAACCCCATGAAAAGAATATGCTGCTCCCACATCCATTAAGGAAGAGGGGTCACAGGTTTGGAAGATGGGAAATAATGAGACGGTGATAATGATGATGATGGTGGCTAAAATTCATGGAGCACTTATCATAAGTCAGGCACAGTACTAAAAACACTGGATAGATTATCTTATTCAACCCTCTCAACAACTCTAAATAGATACTTTTTCACAGATGTAGAAACTGAGCCTCAGAAAGATTAGGGACATGTCCAAGGTTACATAATGTTCAGTGACGTGAGACAGGGGAAATTTGTCATACAACAGAACAGACAAAAAGCATACTATTCAACTTGGCAAAAGAAAAGAACAGTTAATCCAGTGCTAAAACGATGAGGGGTGAACACAGACGTTTTAATCAAATTCTAAAATACTAAATCTAGGAGTCATGTTAAAGTACCAAAAGAAGCACTAATTTCTTTCAATCAAAGGAGTTGCTAATTTGCATATAGTCAGTAAGCCTAGAAACACATTTCCCCAAGAAGTAACACCTTTATTAAAAGTATAAGCCGGGCTTGGTGGCTCAGCCTGTAATGCCGCGCCTTTGGGAGGCTGAGGTGAGTGGACTGCCTGAGACCGCGGGTTCGAGACCCGCCTGGGCAGCGAGACCTCATCTCTACAATAAATAAAAAAATCAGCCGGGCGTGGTAGCGCATGCCTGTAATTCCGGCTACTTGGAAGGCTGAGGCGGAAGGATCGCCGGAGGCCAGCAGGTCGAGGCTGCGGTGGCCGGAGCAGCCACTGCACTCCAGTCTGGGCGACAGAGTGAGACTCCAACTCAAAACAAACAAACAAACAAAAGTATGACTTGCTCTAAAAGGCAAAACATATAAAATATCTTCCCAAAGGCACAGATAAATTCAGAGATGAGAAGTTCATGACTGTCTATTAATAGAAAGCAGGATGCATGGGAGCTGTCTCTATCACTAGAAAATGGTAACATTTCTATAATGTTAATTCTCTTGGCATTAGAAAGAGTGAACTACATGGACCAAGTCTGTACCAAGTTGCAAATTATGTCATATGGAAACTCGAGATCATTGAACACAGCATTTCTCAATAAGCAGTGATTAAATTTCCAGGGATTCATAAAAGTGTTCCAAGATACTAAGGAATTTAGTGAATTTAGTGAAATTTAAATGGACATCATTATCAATTATCAATTTCTAAAAATGAATAAATGATTATTCTAATATTCAGCTTTTAAAACAGAATGTTCTGAGGGTCTTTCACACAATATATGTAGGGTTAGTAGAAACCAGCCAAGTGAGCTCATTTAATCACTCAGTCAAACCCCATATCATTGTGTGGTGTTGACTATTATACAAGTTCATATTGTTTTTTTTTTCCAGTCATATGTATTGACACATTTTTAATTTAATTTATACATAATGGGCTATTGGTTAATGATGGGAAGTTCAAGAAACACTGGGCTAATTAACACAAAAACAGTAATTTTACAAGTATGCCTGAATTTGCTCTTTGTGGAAAAATATATTCAGGGCAAATTTAATCTGTGCTCTTGGTTTTAAAAAAATGATCTTTGCTAGACACAAAAGTTAAATTCATTCCCCAAATTCACTCATCAAGTTATAAGATTATATAAAATGCAGCAGTATGTTTTTGGGCACCAAAAAACAAATGTTAAAAAAGTAAAAATTTGGTGAATGTAATCCAATTTGGTTTTTCATATATGAGGGGGGAAAATACTCCTTCAACTTTATAAACAATTTCCTGCAAACAGCAGCCTAAAACTTTCTCATCACATAGACCAAAAATGCAAAAATTATAAAAATAAACTAGTATATCCTTTTAATCTTAAGATGCAGAAATTCTAAAATTTAGGTGTTAAAAGTAGATTTTGGCCTTTTTTAAATGCTGGAAAACATTTAAATACATTTGGCTCCCCTCATCCCCCACAAAAGATATATAATATTTTATTTTTTAATGGATCAACAAAACATAATTTTTCTTATACAAACATAAGTTAAACAGTAATTACTGAATGGTAAAATGGAGACAATTTTCCTTGTATGGCATGAATATCAAAGATTATATTAATATATTGATCTCAAATAAATACTTTTTATCTAAAAATCAAGTCTTTATCACATGCCATGTAAAGACAGAATTAGTTTTTAAATCCCCGAGGCCTTCAAAAGATTATGCATTATTCCAAGAGAGATTTGTGAGTCAAAGATTGGGGAACACTGATCTTTTCTAATCTCTTAATATGTAAATTTTAAAAGGGCCCAAAAAAGGCTAAGAAAATGACCCAAGGTTACAAAGACCCAGCAACCAGAAATGGT